CTCTATCCACTGCGCCGCCTAGCTGCCCCTATGCTGATGATTCTTAAATTGACCTATCCAGTCTTAGCCTCTCTGATGACCTCTCTCATCTCCAATTACCTATTGGACATCTCAGACATCTTCAACTGAATGTCTTGTAGATGTCTTCAACTGAACATATCCAAAACTGAACTAATTCTCTTTCCTCCCAAATCCACCTCTCAGCCTAACTTCCCTATTCCTATTGAGAGCACTACCATCATCGCAGTCACGCAGACTTAACCCGGATGTCATCTTCAACTCTACACTCTCTTACTACCCCCTTATATCCAATCTGTGTCCATTGCCTGTTGATTTTATCTTCATCATATATATCATATAGCTCGCCTTCTCTGACACTGTCACCATCCTGGTGCAGGCCCTTATCACCTCATACCTGAAGTACTACAATAAATTACTGGTGGGGTCTCATGGCCACAAGTTCTCCCCTCTCCAGTCCATCCTCCACTCAGACTCCAAAGTTATTTTCCTAAAGCATAGGTCTGACCATTTCACCCCTCCCTCTGTACTAAGTAAACTCTAGTGACTCTATCACTTCCAGGATCAAATACAAAATCCTCTTTTTGGTGTTCAAAAGCCCTTCATAACCTGGCCCCCTCAACCTACCTTTTCGGTTTCCTCACACCTTCCACCTCACTTCCCCATCATGTACCGTGCCATCAGATGACACTGACCTCATTGCTGTTTCTTGAACAACTTGCAGCATGGTGGTCTGCCATGCCTGGAATGTTTTTCTTCCCCTTCTTCACCTCCTAGTTTCCTTCAAGTCCCAGCTAAAATCCTATCTCCTATAGGAAGCGTTTCCAGATTCCCTTTAATTCCAGTGCCTTTTCTCTGTTGGTTATTTCAAATTTATCCTGTATATATTCTTAGTCAATTAAAAAAAATAAACATTGATTAAGATCCTGCTATGCTCCAAATACTGTGCCAAGCACTAGGGATATAAATAACACAAAGATGATTCCTGATTGTAAGGAGCTTACAAACTATTGGAGGAAGCCACTTACCCCCCCAAAAAAAAGCTGTAAAGAGGGAGAAAGGGTACTAGATGGGGTTGGTGCAGGGACCTGATGTTTGAGGAACATCAAAGCTGAAGCATTCTCCAGAACAATGAGTTTATCCTGTAAGAAGCATGACATTCAAAAGACCAAGCTGAGCAGCCGATGGAAAATGGACTTGGTCTTATTCAGACCCAGTTGTCTGCAGTGTTGCGACTCCTTGGGAGCAGGGATCGTCCTTGGCCTTTCTTTGTTTCCTCAGTGCCTGGCACAGTGATCTGAGGTTGGTTAGCCATACATTACATGGATAAACATTGGTATCATCATCTGACTACACGTTTAATTAGTCTTCAGTTTCCCCTGTAGTAGCCAAGTTAAACTGGTCACTGGTCAGATAGACCAGCTGTCTCATGACCTGCTAAATCTCTCCGCCTGGGTGTTTGAGCTGCTTAATGGTTTCAGATAATCATAGTCCTCATCAGAATCAGTCCTTTATTCCTAAAATTGAACTTGTAGAAGGTTTAAATAGAACTATTACTACACACTGTGGTATAGAAGAAAAAAAATTAATACTATACATTTTAGACATAAACTTTCCACAATTTTTATTGTTTTAATATGATTCTATAAACCAAGCATTTCTAGCTTAGAAAAATATTCAAAACTGGTATAGTCTCCCCATGCCCTCAGACATCTCTACTCAAAACATTTTGTTTATAGAAATCTTGAACAAGGAAAAGATCATAATATGTTAAAATATAGTTTTGGGTTAATGTTCCAGAACAATAGTTACACTCAGTTTCTTCTCCGACCACTTTCCTCAAAGAATGAAAGGGCATTCTTTCAGTCAGTACCAAGGGATTACTATGTGCTAAGCATTTTGCTAAGCACTGGAGATACAAAGTAAGACCATTGCATTCCTTTCTGAGTGAAAGAAGAGGGCACTTCCCTTACAGGCCAGTATCGATTCAGAGAATGGGGAAGCAAAGATCTAAATAAGACAAAAGATGCTCTCTGTTTAAACTCTGGTTTCCTCTCTTAATCTGTTTCCATTTAAGTAAGGCCTTTTGTTCTCAAACTCTAACCAACTTTTCTAAGAGGATAATTCTGGGAATCATCTTTAGACTAGAGAAATATTATTTCTTAGTATTTCTAGAGGACAAGAAATGAATATTTTTAATTTGCTTCCATTTCTCTATATCAAAGGATTATCTTTATGTCCATGGAGTTGTTATATCTATATTTTTACGCAGGAAAGGTACTGCCTCTAAATTCTACATTTTCTCCCATCTAAACCTGGCTGTTGGGTTTCTTCCAATGCACCAAGATTTCATTTGGAATGTCACCTTCTGAGCCATTGCCTGGATTAGAAATTCATTGCACAACTGATAGGTGGTCTCATTAATTTAGAGTCTGCTCAGGCAAGCGCCCATCAGTGTCTATCTGCTCATCAAGGAGGCCAACTAAGTCACCTATGACTGCAATAAATTGTCTTTCTAGGAGCCTAGCCAGTCTCTGGGGCTCTTTTGTAAGAAACAAGTTGCCTAGTTTAGTGAAAGTGGGTGTGATCCACTGATCTGCTAATTTATTTGTCTGTCCCAGGAACACCAAACTTTTTTAGCAAAACCTTATCTCTTTATTGAAGATTTTGATAACAAATTCGGGCGTCATATTACTATTTGCTTCTCTCACAACACTTCTGACATAAAGTTGTAGCGAAGCAGTCAGCTTCTTTCATCCTCTCTCACAGCCAAGAATTGCACTAGCTGTGAGTATCTAGTCTAAATCCTTAGAGACTCCAAAGCATGAGTTAATAGATAGGTGTGCCTCTCACTCAGATATCAATGGGCGTTGTGTAAAAGCTGTGCCATAATTCCTGCTGAGTTTACATTCTGGTCAATATGTGAACATTCCTTAGGAATGCCTTGTGTTGACCCTACTGAGTTTTTGTTCCAGTCTCAGCGTCCGTTACATCTTCAGCTCGGAGTGGCTGAAGCGCTCAGGCTGCGTTGTCCGGTGTGCTGAGATGTAGTGGTAGACTTCTTGATGCCAGCCAAAGCTGACGTCTCGAGAATGGTGCTTGCAGACTGTCTGCTTTGATCCAGATGGATCCTGGCAGGAAGTTCACATACTGAGAAATATTTCTCCCAAAACCCTGGAACTTTTTGTTTTTTTGATTGGATATGCTGGGTGCATGACCATTTGAAATGGTCCATAACCACCAAGAGAGGGTTTATGCTCTATTCTTCTTCTGGAAATAGAAAGTCGATGTAGACAAGTTCCAAGGGTTTAATAAATTACACATTAATGGGTAATCTCGTCTCTGAGAAAGAAACATCTCATATTGCATACAAAGGTAAGTTCAAAATGGGTACATGATTTAGACATAAAAGGTGATAACATAAGCAAATTAGGGGAATGTGGAAAAAGTTACCCATCAGATTGATGAGTAGAAAAAGAGATCCTGCCCAAAAAAGAGATGGGTTCGTGGGAGGTAAAATGAATAATCTTGATAACATAAAACTAAAAAAGTTTTTGTACAAACACATCAAGAAAAAGGAAGAAGACCTTATGCACAAAAAGGTTTGTGTCAGCTCTTTTTTGTGATGACAAAGAATTGGAAACTGTGGGGGATGCTCGTCAATTGAGGAATGACTGAACAAGTTATAGTATGTAATAGTAATAACTAGCATTTATATAATACTATGTGCCAGGTGCTTTTTATTTATGATCTCATTCAGTCTTCACAAGAACCCTGGGAGGTAGGTGCTATTATTAACCCCATTTTTCAGATGGCAAAACTGACACAAACAGAAGTTAAACAATTGCCCAGAGTCATACAGCTAGTAAGTGCCCAAGACTGAATTTGAATTCAGGTCCTCCCTGACTCAGGGCCCAGAGCTCTATCCACTGTGCTACCTAGCTGCTGTGATGGAATGCTACTGTGCTGTAAGAAATGATGAAAGGGATGGTTTCAGAAAAACCTGGGAGAGACATATGAATTGATGCAAAGTGAAATGAACAGAACCAGGAGAACAGTGTACCAAGTAGCAGCAATATTGTAAATATAATCAAAAGTGAAAGACTTGGTATCTGAGCAGTACAGTGATCTACCACAGTTCCGAAGGACCCATGATGAAAAATGCGATTTACCTTCAGATAAGAGAATTGATTGACTTTGTTTGCAGATTGAAACATATTTTTTCTCTTTATTTTTCTTGTTTGTTTTTTTTTTTAAATGTAGCTAATGTGGAAATGTTGGTCATGGTGATTTATGTATCCTCTATATCTGTATATTCATACCTTACATACACATAAATTTTACCTAGGGATGTGGCTGTGTTTACCTTTCCCTGCTGATATGTATTTATGTATAAATGTGCACATAAATAAAATGGTAATAAATATCATCAAAAGCAGCCAAACTTGTTCATATGATGATGAAGAAAACATTTTAAGATGGGTTTGATTTTTTTTTGAGAAATTTGTTGGAAAACAATGCACATGTTTAAGATAGAACCAGAGATGTGAAAAACCACCAAGTTCTATATCTTAATTGAATTGACTCTCTTCTTGATTTCTGTAAGAGTGGGTTGTAAAAAACATCTTCAACAACATGATGAATGTTAAATCATTTTTCTCACAACAAAAGCAACTTTGTGCGTGGCCCTCAGTTGACTGCTTAGAAAATGGCTGTAATGGAAAACCGCCAGGTCAATCTGGACGCTCATGTTAATATTCTAGGTTTTGAATAATAGTGCTTTTTGTTAAGAGACAAAAACATATGAGAGACCGTTACAAACTAGCAAGTTGGGAAACAACCCCTCAAAGAAGCTTGATTCAGCCAGAAAAGTGAAAACGTTAGAGTAGCCCTGAAGTCCAACTCTGTTATGGGAGAGGGGAGAAGGGCTGGAGAGAGGGCAGAGTAGGTGAGACTTTTATTTCAGGGCTAGCGGGAAGGAAAGTGTCTGAAAGCACATATGTGATAGAGGAGCAATGTCTGCAAGGGGAAAACTGAGGTACACATTCGAAATTTTAACTTTTTAATATGAAATTGCATTGGTGTGATTGATGTGGATTTCATGAATGTTTGTGAAATGAACTTGTCTAAGAAAATATTTTAATATTTTATGACTTGAACTCGAATCAAGTAGAATGGATGTTTTAAGTGGGATATAGGAAATATGGGATTTAAGGCTAAGAATTATTTCAGAACCATTTCCCCCAGTGTTCTAAAGCACTTCAGTATTTTAATTTGCTGTTAATAGTAATTTTGGTAGTTTTCATAATTTTTTGGTTAAAATGCTTTTCAAGATTCTATTGCTTCTCAAAGTTACAATGGCAGTGTCCTACAAGTCTCCATGGGAGAGGCTGATATTATCTTTAGATACTGAGTAATCATAAAATTACTTCTCTTTGGATTTGTAACCATCTGATACATGTTAGAGATTTATACAATGTAAGCATCGGGGTTTGGGTTTATAGAATGCGGTTCTTTTTGTCTGGGACTCACAAGGGCTGGAGACTTGCAGCATTACCTGTTCTATACCCATCCCTTGTCATTTGTCCCACATTCATTCATGTTGAAGCTGGACCTCATGGTAAGTGGATTTCTTGTTCTTATATTCCTTGGTTTACTCATGAACCTCCCCCTGAGTGTCCTCAGGACAATCTGAGCTCTCATCTACGGTTTCCTCAGGTCTTTTTACATTCCATAGGTACCAATGTAGCACACATGTACTGCCTAACTATTATTACTTATTCCCACTATATGGCTTCTCATCTCCTTTTCCAGTCGTACATTTCCTGAATACTCTACAGCAGTTTTTGCATGTTGATCACTGTTGGAAGTATGCTACAGTCTCTAGTTAGGCATACTACGCATCTCTTTTATGTCCTTTGGGTCACCCACAACTTTGATTCTTTGGAGACGTTGTTCCAAGACTAACAAACATACATCATCACTGGAAGGATACTGTGTTAAAAAGATAAGTTTTTATTTGGGGAGCAGCTTGGGAAAGTTAAAAGTACTCAACAGTTTTCTAAATGCAACTCAATATTCCCTCTTCCTCTTATTCAGGTTTAGGTCCATCACATCTAGATACTTCAGTATCTAAATATGCTGATATGCTATGTGAGGAAGTAAAAAAGATATTTCAAAGACATTTTCTTAATGAATAATTAATCAGTGAGTATTTATTAAGAACCTGTTATGGGCCAGGCACTATGCTAGGCTCTTGAGATACAAATAGAAAGACAATGCAATATAAATACAAGTACAGCTTGCCATCAAATGAGGGAAATCCATATAGGAAAACCCAAGTGGATGAAAAACGATTCTTGGTTTTTCCTGCATAGACTATTAGGTTGATCTCTTCTGAGTCATGCATCTCTTAAATATCATTTTTACATCCTGATACAGCATATGAGTCCACCACCGAGAAAATCATATGTGGTGGTTTTGCGATCATTCACAATGAAAGTAGATCACAGTGGAAATGCTGACAGAATGCTTACATGCTCCATCTACTTTTCCAACCAGCTTCATCTGTAAATGTTATTGGAGTGCCATAGTTGATTGAGGTGTCTTGTCAAGACTTCTGTTTTTTCCTCCATTGCTTTTCGCTGTTTTATGAGGTGATAGGAATAAGGTGGTTTCTAGGCCATTTTGGCCTCCTCAATGTGATGACAATAGCGCATCAATTAAACTTTAGTAGGAAATAATGACAAAGTCAGTGTCTTTCCCCTTTTCATTTTTTCAACATTGATGATTTGTTTAAAAGTCTTGTTGAAGCCATTATAATTATTATACACAGTATAATCTTCAAATCTTTATGCTTTCTTCTAATCTGATACTGTAATTAATTGATTTTTTATGGTACATATCCAGGCAGTGCCAAGTCTTGTTAATTCTAACATCTCTGACATCCATTTCCTCCTCTGTACTCACACAGCCACCACCCTAATTCAGGATCTCTTCACTTCTGACCTGAACTATTATACTATGATATCCTAGTTGATTTCCCTGTGTAAAGGCTTTCTCCCTTCTCCAGTCTGTCATCCTACATAGTTGCCAAAATGATTTTCTTAAAGCAGAGACCTAACCATATCATTCCTTTACCCCATGAACTACTGGGACTTCTTGTTACCTGTAGGGTCAGATACGAGTTCCTCTGTCTGTCATTTTCAGCCCTTTGCAACCTGGATCCAATCTCCGTGTCTAGCTTTATTACACATTACTCTTGGCAAACACTGCATGATCCAGCTAAACTGGCCTTGATTCTGTTCCTCATACATGACACTCCATCTCCTCCCTTCAGGCCTTTGCCCTAGCTGTCTTTTAGGCCTTGGATATACACCCTTCTCCCTTCCACTTCTTAAAATCTCTTGTTTCATTCAGTGTTCACTTCAAGCTACAAAATATACTTTGACATTTCGGGATGTCAGTGTGAGGGGCCATTACAGAATAGAGTCAAAAAAGGTACGTTGGAAAATAATGGTTCGTGTTTAGGAAATGAAAGAGACCGAAGGCTTGTGGATTACTTGGGGAGAAGCCTCAATACCTATGTATCATAAATACTTTTCATTTTCCACAAAAAAGAGTGAGAAGAACTAGATAGTTAGAAACCAAGGTGACTGAAAGAATGGTGGTACCCTTTACAGACTGTAAATAGGATGGTTTGGGGGAGGGTTAATGAATTCTCTTTTTGGACTTGATGAATATGAAATATAACTCCTTTATTTGCCTTTCCAAAAACAACTTGTGAACCAGTTAGTTGCTACTGAACTTTTGTCTTCCGGTTTGATTATTGCAAGAATATCAGTATTGACGTAGTTTAGTTCTTGGAATGATTTCAATGTGTTGGTCATTAATTAAAGGTCTCACATTTAGGAACTCAAGTCAATGTTTTTAGATGGTCTAATATTTATTTATTGCTTATACATGCATGTAGTATTGCAGTACCTTCATCATGAGTAAAAGGTTATTCTATACAGTAGGTTATAAGCTAGGAAGAGAGAAGGCAATTGTGATACAGAGAAGAGCTTCTTGGGGGAAGGTGGATTTCAGAGTCAGAGTCGTTTTTCCCTGGTACAGAAAATACATAGTATTGCTGGTTTCACAAATAGCCAGCCACTGGCCTCAGTGACAGTTGATTGTGTTTCATAGGAGGGAATATGGTTGCAGGATGTCCTTATAGGACTGAGGGCCACTTAAAATTTTTATTTTTGCCATGGGCAAAGAATTCGTCACAATCAGTGTACCGCTGGCTAGTTGGTATTTGTGTAAATCAGAAGAGCTAGTTACTCCCTCTTGACCAGCCCCATCTTCCTGTGGGTGACACCTTTCATTCCTAACTCCTGCCATCAGGTATAGCTTTATCTCTAGTCTCGCCCATCAGCTCCCTTTTAGGGGAAGTGGTTTCGTTAAACCCTTCTGAGGCGGCTGGTAGCACAGTGGATAGAGTGTTGTACCTGGAGTCACGAAGACCTGAATTCAAGTCCTCAGACATTTACTAGCTGTGTGACCCTGGGCAAGTCACTTAATCTGTTTGCCTCAGTTTCTTGAACTGTAAAATGAGAGTGATAATAGCACTGACTTCTCAGGGTTGTTGTGACGATCAAGTGAGATGATATTTGTAAAAATGCTTAGCATATAGTAGGTACTATAGAAATACTTGTTCTTGTTCCTTCCATTCTTTATCCTTCCCTTCCCTTCTGGCTGAATAACCAGGGCTGAAGGTATCTTCCTCAGAAGGAAAAGCTCCTAGGTCTTTGCTCTCTCTTCCCATTCTCTACGTGGGCTGCTTTAGGCTTAGGCTGTGCGTAGATTCCTTTGCCTGATTCACTCTGCTATTTTGGGAAGTTTTAAAACATAGATCAATAATATTTTTCTGGGAGCAGCTAGGTGAGGCAGTGGATAAAGCACCGGCCCTGAAGTCAGGAGGACCTGAGTTCAAATCCGACCTCAGACCAAACACTTGACCCTTATTAGCTCTGTGACCCTGGGCAAGTCACTTAACCCCAATTGCCTAAAAAAATAAAATAAAAAATAATATTTTTGTCTAGTTGCAGGTCCCCATATTTTTGCCAGGGATGTTTATTAACCTTAATTTAATGTAATCTGTCTCTCGGTACCTCATCACACTACTGTTTCCCCTTTCAGTTGTTTGACCTCATAGGATACATACCAAGACAACACTACACTCAATAGACATGTAAGTTGGGAGAGACCAGTTTCTTTAAAAACTAATGACAACAAAAAGGAAATAGACTCATGAAGAACAAGGATTGAGAATACAGGTCAGCTCTGCCCTGGAATGAATGGTGTAAGTATGAATGGACATCGCCTGTTTCGTTCTTGGCTGTAGGGATGACCACAACCACCTGACAGCTGTTCCATAGTTCAGTCTTTTCCCTTCATCTCACCCTGCTCTCCCCTGCCAGTTTGTTTGGGATGTGTGTGGGGAGGGGGAACAGCTCTTCTTTCTTTCTTCTTTACTTGAAGTCTCTCTACTGTCATCACATCTCCCTCTCAAATAGTCTCTCTCTCTTCCTTCAGAAAGGAGAATAGCTAAGCCCCTTCGGTTGAGTAGATAAACTTTGGACAGAGGTCCCTAATGCCTTGTTGTATACATGAAAAATATAAAAAGTAGAAAATCTGAAGGGAAGATAAGGTTTTTTGTGATTTGAGAGAAACATTATTAATGTTTGGATTACCTGTCCGTTTGAGACTTTAGGTACATTGCATATGTGATGGAGATTGAATTTCAGATTTGCACATAGTACTGATTAGGAAGAGATTTTTTTGTTTTTGTTGCCACATAGAAGTTAATGCACGTATTACGAGCTGTCAACTCGGTAAGTTTCATAATTCCAGAAATTAGTCACTACTGTTTCATCTTCTCTTCAGTGAAAGTAATTTCTGCCTTTCGTTTTCTCATGTGTGATGAGCACATTCCCTGTTGTAAGAAATGAAAAGAAAACAGGAATTTCCCTACATGCATACATAGACAAGTCT